TGCTCAAGAGAGCACCACCAGGGCTGGGTTTGTGATGGTATTGGCAACAGGCAGGTAATCCCAGTCCCTTGCTTGGTAATTGGTGCAATACCAGGATGGAGGTGCAGGTTTGGTGCACACCTGGGCAGGAAGGTATCATAGCTGCTCAAGGGAGAAGAATGAGAAAAAAGACAGGTTGAGGTGTGTTTGCAGGACATGGAGGAACGTGATCACCTGCTGTGAGCTTGCACAAGGTGACAGCATGCAAGAAGCTAGTTTGGTTGAAGTCTGCAGGAGGGACAACTTTGAAGAAAGTGGTGTGCAGATAGAGGTTACTTTCTCCCCTGCTCAATGCACATGTAGCCTAAGCACTGTGGTCTTCTTTCTGGAAGCTAACAACATTATTGTTTGGGTGTGTTTGCCAGAACAGATACCCTTATGCCTTTTTCCTTGTGAAAACTTGTCTTTCAGCAAGACTGGGAGAAGCAGCCGTGTTCAGTTCCCTCAGCCCATCATTTCTCTTGCAGCAAGCCCAGAACCACTGGTTGTGTAGTCACTGGAATGACTGTTTCTAGTGTCTACACTTTTGGCACAGGGAGGCACTGGGAGGTGCTTGCAGCCAGACTAATTGAACAGCAGCATTAACAAGCCTTTGGTGCTTACAGGGTGGCTGTGTTTTCCAGGTCTGTCAGAGCTTTCCTGGCTTCTCTTGCCTTGGGTATGTTTATGGCAAGGACTCATGCTCAAATGCATCGTTAGGGCAGCTCAGTGAGTTACTAAGTAAGAGCTGAGCCCCTGTGCCCGTGCACCCACACTCCAGCTGGCAGGTCATGGATTAGTGAAACATGTCTTTAACCCAGTCTGTGTAAGAGTGAGCGCTTGAACTCTTCTGGCAGGTGGGTGGGGATAGCGTGTGATACACACCCATATCCTTAATCCTCATTCAGCTGGTTTTTCATCTTGCAAGTTTTCTGTGTTGTGAGAGCAGAGCAGTGTGAGCTGAGCACTTGCCAGAGCCCAGCACAGAAGATGAGGCTGCAGAACTGTGAAAGTGGAATGTGTGACATTCCTTGAAGAACTGGTTTTGGTCTGATGGGCCAGGGGTTAGTTTGGTCCCTGCTGATAGCATGTGGAATTGTTTATCCTGCAAGAACTACTGTGGATGGAATTTCTGGTTCACCAACTGCTGATTTTATGCTTTCTTATGCAGTACTAATGTAAAGAAATTTGTTGAGTTTTATGCATATTTTTATTTTGTACAGATTTTAATTCTGTGGCTTCTTTGGGGATGATGTGATATAATGGTCATAGACCAGGCCAAGGTAAACAGGCTTTGTATATTAATGTTACATAGATTGCATGCTAGTAAAGTCTGTGAGGGTTGTGTTTCCAGTTTTGTCCCCTGTACTTCTCCTTGTCCAAAATCTCCTCTCCCCCACCCCTTTTTAATTTACAGGTTTAACTTAAAAGGGGCTGGCAATTGGGGTTGGGGTGGGGGAGAAACACCTCAGTATTTTAAATAGGTGCACAGCATCTCTTCACTGCTGTGTTCTGCTGCCACACCTGAAGGTGTTCAGCATGACAGGCTGTTGAAGCAGGATTGTGTAGGCATGAGAGGTGGGGGAAAGAGATGCTACAGCATAGCCCAAAGAGTGCTGTATGGCCAAAATGAATATGTTTCTCCCTTTGTGAGAACTGCCTTAGCCCAGCCAGCTGTTTTCATTGTGCACAGAAATTGTTCAGCATTCTCTAGGGGTGTATTTTGCCTTGGTTTACTGTATTAGAGGTTTCTTCCTTCCTCTTGGCCCCAGGGACAAAGCTGTTAATTACAGCTGCCTCTCCATCATGTGCCTGCATGAGGGGAAGTCTGACTGAGTCTGTCCACACCTAGTGCTGAAGCAGGTTAATTTTGGTGCCTTCTTTCCAGCCTAAGAGAGATGGCTGAGGTTGCACGTCTCACCCAATTTTTCCCCCTCATCTTGCTTTTTTTTTTTTTCTCTCTCACTGGTTAGAGCAGAGGGCTGAGAGGCGCAGGAGAGGCAAGCAGCCAATTTTATGCTTGAACATCCGGAGAGCATGTCCATGCACACTGGCTCAAGTAGGCACCAGAGAGCTGAAGCAATGCCTAAACACTTGCTGGTCTCACTGGTGAGACACAGGCAGATACTGCTGCACTGAAGAGCTACTGCTCTCACTAGAGGACAAGAGGTGTGGCATGGCCCCAAGGTAGATGACAGTTTGGTGTGTGTTACCAGGAGGCTGATCATGTTCCTGGAATTCAGCTTGTCCTTGCAGTTAGTTGAGTTACTTGTTCCTGAAAGTGGCTGGAGATTGCTGCTGATGTGACCTACAGGTCCTGTGGTCTGTGGCTGGGGTGGCTTACCCATGGGTGCCAGAAAGGCTTACACCCTGCTAGTTCTTGCTAGAGCAATTTGTTCTCCTTTCACAGCTGCTGGGCATTTTCTTTCTTTGCTGCTGAAGGTTTTTGGTGACAGCCAAAGTTGACATTGGCAGTGATTGATTCAGCTTCTGAGAAGAGCTACTTTTATCCGGGGTGTTTCAGTTGATCATGAGAAGAAAGCCACACAGCAGCAGGACTGATGAACCTTTTCTGGCAGAGGGTGGGCTGCCTGCCTGCTGCTTGTTGCCTAGAGGTGGAGGAAGGTTGTGCACCAACATTTTTGTGCTTCTGTGGTGTCTCCCACCTGTGCTTGATGGTGACTTAGGAAGAGCTCAGCACTAGCCACTTCTACCACGTCTTAGCAAATGCTGCTGGAAATGAGCTTGCTTTTTTATTAGTTATGTCTGTGGGCTCCAGGCATAAAGCAAAACTCATGTTTTCCTTTCTGATAAGGATAGAACTTTATGTGAGTTAGTAAACTGGGAGCATTTACAGGGCTTCTCCTCCTTGGAGTTGAGACAGGACATTTTGTAAAACAGGCGGTGTCTGTATTCTCTGCAGGCCAACTTTTTGGAAGCTGCTAGAGGATGCTGGTGAAGAGACCATGGTGCTGTGGCTTTACTAGGAGCAGTACTTGTATTCAGAGTATAGAGAGTCACTGAAAAAGCACTGCAGCATTTTAGGCAGCATTACAAACACCATGTAGAGACTTCAGTACCCACGTTGGTAAGTGTGGCAGTGGAAAACCTTACAGCACTGTTGCATTCACTAAGGCAAGTATTTACAACACTAATCTCAAGAGAAGATAGTGGTGGAAACTGAGCATTAGGTACATGATGGGCTACAGCTTATAGGGTGCCACTTAAAAGAATCTACTGTGCTTACAGGTCTATTCACCTTCCCCATCTTTTGGCATCTCCCAGTATTTAGTGCTGCAACATTATTACACAGAGGTCAGAACAGTACCAGAATGGAACAATGTGTGGTTTGGGTTTTTTTCGCCCCCTATAGCTGAAGTCAGTGTGTAGTAACAATCCCAGTGATCTACTTCTGATTTTAAAACTCCAAGAATAGTGGGACCCCCACCTCATGTCCTTGGGGAGGTTGCTGAAAGCTTGGTGCAGCCAAGGTTTGACAACTGCTATAAGAAAGAGTAATTCACAGACCACGTTGTTCTGCTGCTTTCATCCAAAAAAATCCCCACCCATGTGTTTTGTTCAATCTCCTACCCATGCAGGAAGAGTTTGTTTCTTTGGTACTCTAAATATACTAATTTTATTAGCACCTGCGCTTATAAGCAAGATGTGTTAGGAAACAGTGAAGGCAGCAGCAGCCTGATGTCCAGAGGTCAGTCTACAGCCAGCAACCTGCTGAACAGATATGGTGACCCTGCTGAAATGTGTGCAGTACATTTGTTCCAGATTCTCGTAACACCTCAGAAGAATCCTACCACTACTGACTGATAGGAAGAGCTGCGTACAAATTCATTTCCATTACAGCGCCTTGGTAAAGTGCTGATATGTCTGAGATTTTTTGGTAAAGAACAAGTGCTTTTCACATTTGAAAAAAATGTCTTTTGCAACTTGCATGGACAAACAGTTTCTATGAATTCTCTGGAGATGTCAGTGTCTCACATGGATTTTGTCCATGCACTTTTTTTGAAAGCAGATACCCCCTTTGGTTTGCAGTCAGAGGAGTATCACGCTGTGCTTTTGCTTTTGGTACTGCTGATGCAGTGGATGAGTGCAGAGCCCACTGTAAATGACCAAGCCCATAGGACTCTGGGGAGCTGTATGCCACCAGTAACATTTTATTGTGTGTGCCATTTGAACCACCTTCCAGTGAGTGCAAAACCCAATTTTTAAATTTTTTTAATTGTACTTGGAATTAACTGTTGCTGTGTACTAAACCCTCTTGTTACGAGCCCTAAATAAAAGGAACAAAGCACACCCCATGTGTTCTGTGAGCGTGCCACAGCTGTGTCACATTCCTTGTCTTTGTCTACAGACTTTTCAACACACTAGGGACAGGGATAGTGGCTTATTTGTGCAGGAGGATCCCCGAGGATCTCTGAGCACTGCACTTCCCACAGGAAAACTATGATCCTTGGCATAGAGCCTGCTGCCTTCAGCAGCTCCTCTCTCCACCTCTGTATGACTGCTCCTTTTCTGGTAGTTGCTAACATAACATCTCACATCTCTGCTGCTCTCAGGGCCAGCCTGGGAGCAAATAATGGGGGAGGGACACAGAGCCACATTCCCTACGGTGGCCCCAGAGAGGGTTCACAGCAACACTTACCAGCCAGCAGCTGTTCCCGTGTGAGCAGAGCTGGACAGGACTCTGCGAGCCTGAGGAAGGAGGCAGATGGAAAAGGTAAGCCTTCACACAGGGTCCTCTTTAGACCTGTAATTGGTGTGCACCATGTTACTGGTACAGCCAGCTCTGACCCCCTGAAAAGAACTGTGCAAAGGAATAAAAAGTGATTTTATTTAGAGTGAGCATATCAGTAGTAACCTGTAGGCCATCAGATACCTGAACCCCTACAGAAGGGAACCACTGACGGATGACCTGAGAATATGGAGGGTTTTGAAATGAAAAAGGAAAATTGCAAGACAGAGGATTAAAACAGGTTATTAAATTTAACTACATCTTTATTGAATTGTGCATATTCCATTGTATAATGATCTATATTGGGTATTCTATAATGTAGTATTTCTTTTGTCCTCTCTCATGCTTAAAAAAGTATATTTATACATATATTTATATATATTTATAATATGGCAAAGCTCCCCCCAACCTGAAACTATCAGTCTAAAAGAGCTTTGATTTTTCTTTTTGGAAAGGGAAGAAGAGGGGAGGCAATCCCATTAAAAGATAAAATGTGCAATTTTCTTTTTAAAGCAGTAAACATGAATGTATTTACAGCACTCAGCACAAGTTTGCTGCACAGACAAATCATCATTGCAGTGACACTTTTTCTTACACTTGCGTCTCCAGTATTATACAGAATATTCCCAGTGGCTGGTAACAATTACAGTAAGCCATAAAACAAACTGCTGCTCCAGTTAAGTCCTGGTCCACTGCAGTCCACTAGGAGGCCTAAAATTTCCGGTTACAACTTGTGACAAAGCATTTAGTTTTCCTTTTAGAAGTATAAGCTGCACCAAATCAGCAGCAGGGCACTGTGGCACAGGTTGGATTGCTAAACTGTCCTTTGCCCCCACCCCTTGCAGGTGTGTACCCAGTTTCCAGTGTTGGTTAAAGGCAATGGATGCACAACATCTAACAGTGGCACCCTGTTCTCTTGCCAGACACATGCAGCAGATCAGCAGCACATCAGCTCCTGGCAACTTGGCCTCTCGAGGCTGGTGCAAGCACATCTGCGTACCTGGAATTTAGCTCTGAATGCATCTTTGGCATCTTGGGAAAGCTGGGAGGAAATTATTTTCCACTGTAGGGAACAGCTGATTCAGTTCCAAAGTCTCCTAAAAGACAAGTTGCCTAAAAGACAAGTTGCCTTTAAGCATTTAAATATGGAGGGGGTAGGGTCCAAAATGTGTCACTCAAATTCCTTCTCACTCCTTTATCTCCCTAAGTCCCTGCCGTGGGGGATTGTGCATCCAGCGCTAGTTCGTGTTCCTCCTGGTCTTCCAACTTCTCTAACTCCTGTCAGCAAAGATACACACATCTGCTGAACAGAGCTCCTTGAGTCCTTGCCCCCCCGACTGCCTTGCAGAACCAAATAATCATTAACCCAAGTCACCATTTTCCCCGTGTTAGTGGCAGTTCCTGTAACTTACACTGTGTGGGATGCACACGCATTGTCATCTCATTTGCAGTTTAGTGTCTTAAACTTTTCAAAACTACACCAATCCTGTGACTCAGTGGATCACAGTGTTAGTGAGTGCTGCCCCCTACAACAGACCCCAGGTTTGGTTAGTCTTGTGGGCACTTTTTAATTGAAGGAAGGAAAGAATTCAGAAAGGAAAATTGCTGAATTTAAGACAAACTTATAATTCCAAAATAAACCTTACCCCCAGCATGTTACAAAAACATCCAAAAGAAAATTATCCCTTGTAGTGTTAAATCTCTCTGGTTTGGAGTCTGCCCCGATTGTGCAAGGGAATGCAAAACTAAACACCAGGAGCCACAAATGGGCTCCAGAGAATTAAGACTCACCTCCAAATGAGGAGTACACTGTTTGAGTACATAATCTACACCTTATCAATGCAAAAAGGGAACCAACCAAACTCATATGTTCTGGCTGTATCCTCACTACCTTCTGCCAGGAGTTTATACTGCTTTCCTGGAGTGCAACTGATTTTAACATGACATTAGTTGAAGTAACAATCATAGTAAGACTCACTTATCATCTTATTTTGAATAAGAGACAAATTTACCTGCAGTGGTACCACTGAAGCAAAACAATTTGGTTCTATGCCTTATTCCATAAAAAGCAGAAAATTTCTCTTTTGCCCTTCTGCTGTTGAAATGGCACTTTTGGTTCCTTAAACTGTGGAAAAAAGGATTTTAAATCAGAGGAAAACTGGCCACACGTTATCTCTGAGCTTGTTTGATTTATCCAGTTCCCTAAGGGCACAGAAAGAAGGAATTAGAAAACCTTTAAATTTGTAAGCCCAGAACAGTAAATGTGAAAATGCACTTGTTGAAAAAACTGCTTCCTCTCCCATCAGACCTGAAACCAAAGTGATCCAGGGTAGCTTCACTTTGTTTCCCTGATGTGTCAGTCAGTCACTGTTGCCCTGCAGGCAATTGCAGAGTAAGTTCAGGAGAGGAGCTCTTTGGCTTTGAGGTCACACACCAAGTCAGAGCAGTCAGTGGAGGTTTGCCACAGGAAGAAAGCACTGTGTGGGGTGAAGCAGGAACCTCCTCTCCCAGCCACAGGTTTTAAAATACTAATCAGAATCCCCAGCATAGCCACCTCCAACATGTTACCATGGTTTGTTCAGAACCTGTGTTTGTTTTTAAAAATAATTTCTCCTCTAAGATTAGTGCTGATCGAAGAGCCTAGTTTTCCCTTGCAAAGCAGCTTCCCAACATCTGAGTTATGACAGAAGTGTCTGAGAAGGCCAGCTCCCTGCTTTCTACACCTGTGCTGCAGTCATGGAGAAACCTGGCTGAACAGGAGCGACCCTGCTGCTCAGAGGTGGATGCTCCTGCTGCATGAGAGAGAAAATGAAGACCTAATCTGGAACAGATTACAAAAGCAGCTGTATGCCCTCAGCTGCCCCTGCAGCAGTGGGGTTTCCCTGACACCCACCTTAAGTGTCACAGGCCATGTACTTCCTCCTGTAACACAACTGGGGTTTTAAGTAGCCTTACACTCTTTAGTATTTTGAGATCAAAGCACCAGCTCTCTTTGTGTCTGAAGTATGAAAATTTAGCTTTCACACGCTCATTTTAATAGTGCTGGAAGGCTTACTGCCCATGTTTGTAGCAGGAAGCATCTTCCTGTGTGTCTGCAATCCAGCCCCTTAATTTTCTGATTTAAATAAATAGGTGCAATTACGAGACCAGTGCACACAGGGGAAAATAACTTCCTTGCAAATAAGGCATAACTATTTACTTTCATGAAAGCAGTAAATAAACACACCGGAAAACTAAATTACAGTGGGGGGGGCAGTGTGTCTCCTAAACTGAAAAGACAACCAGGTTGTCTGAACCACATTGTAGCCAAATTTCAGTGTTTAGCTGAGAGAAGGGAAGCTGCAGCCAGTCACTGTATTTCTGGATCACCACTGACTTAGGAAGTAAACTGTAACAAGAAGGAATACGGGTGCCACCTTTGCTAACATTCATTCTTTTTGTGGCAAACTAAAGAGTTAAACGTCTGTCTTCCAGCAAGCTGTTTGCAGCCTGCAGTAGTAAGCATGGATTCATTGCCTAGGGAAAGATACTGGGAAAATGAACATGGGCACAGGAAAATGAGAACAAGGCTCAAATGACTCTGAAGAAATTGCACTCAAAACATTGCTGTGCTGAGTTCAAAGCACAGAGGTACCCGCACTGAATGAACGAATGTAAGAGTGCTGGAACTGACACACACCAGTGGAGCTGTCCTGGGAAAAGAAAAGCACATGGGGCAAGCAGAATCCCCTGCCTGCTCTCACCTGGGAGCACCTGCTGCATCAGCCTGGATGCATCCTGCCAGGGAGCAGAACGTGCCCACTTACCCGTCATGGTAACAGCTGAGGAGTTGTGACTGTGCCTTTTGCTCCACTGGTGTGTCTGAGCCCCAGGAGCTGCATACAGTACAAAGCAGCAAGAGGACCAATGTTGAAAATTACAGCACCCATGAATTGCAGTATAGCTTAACAGCCTTCCTGTGAAGTTACTCACCAGCTACACTGAGCATGCTTAAAATCAACAATGCAAATGCTTTTAAGGACACTTTGTAAGCACAAAAATAGTAGAAACAAAACTTGGTGAACAATTTGAAAGATACAAAAAAGTGCCTTTCCATAGCAGTGCTTTAAAAATGCACACAATGGTATATACTCTTATTGCTCAAAAAAACTAGTCTGAAATATTAAAACAATTTCCAGAGGTGCTGAAATAGATTTTTAAAAAATCATATGAAACAGGTCAGCAGAGACAGCACCACTAATTTTTCTCTTTTCATGATGCATCTATTTAAAACTATATCGTTATAGATGTGTCATTTACCCCCTCTAATTAGCAAAACTTTTTTTCCTATTCATAAAATATTGACAAATACATTTATTTTATTATTTGGATTTTTAAAAAAAACTTTATAAAAAAAAGGAATGGGGGACACTGTCACAATATTTCTTAAATCTATCATCCTCAATTACTCTAATGAGAGTTTAGTTTATATAGTTTCTACACATGTGAGGATACTGTCAGGTCAAGCCGCTGCCTTTGTTTCATTCTTTGGGGAAAGGAAAGCGTTTAAAGTTTGCTTTTGGATAAAAGGTAAGCAAACAGTGAAATGATTTGCCCTATGAGCCTATTGACAGTATCCCCGTGGTGATGAGGGAAGCTGGGGTAGGTACAGTCCAAGTATTTCAGTTGTTTTACAAACAGGCTGCATACCACCACCCTGTAATGAACATGCATGATATACAAGACCACTTACACTACCTACACTACTTTATCACAGAGTCTGAGTACGTGGGTAAGACTGTACAATCAAGCTGCTGAAGTACAAGAAAAAGGACTGTAGTACTTGATCTGGTGATTGACTGTAAAGAGATGACTCACAAAAAACCAAAGCAAATCAATAGTATTTTCTACTGATTTAGGCCCTTAAATTAAATTATTAGCAAATGTTATTGCCTCTTAAGGTTGTTTTTTTTCCAGTCTTCTTCCTTCACTGCTAGAAGTGCAACTTTGTAATTAACAGGTTAATGCATTGGTCACAGTCTCTGGCGGGTCAAAGAAAATAGAATTTCTACTACTCTTGGCCTGAAATTGCCACTCCCTTCTTTCTTTCTAGAAGGGAAAGTTTCCTGACAATTTTTTATGAATTATAAACAATACTTTCTTTACATATTTCCAGACACTTGTTTTTGTAAAGATAGTACATCTTCTCAGGCACAGAGCAAGTGAGACTGTATGCTGTGTATGCTTGTGTGAGAACAGAACCCTTTCTACAGAAACCTACCTGTTCATTCAAGGAAAGAACTACTCGGATAAGTGATCGATCGGCGTGGGTCAGCCTTGTGGGTTGGCAGGATTTTCGACTGCAGGAGTCCTGGCAGCTTTCAGAAGGGGTTAACACAAATATATTCATCTTGAGCCATGGAAACAAATGATCGAGCCTACCATCAGTTAGAATGCATACTGTTTTGGAATAACATATATTTATCCTACTTAACTGCATGGACAAATAACTTTGAAAGAATTTGTAGCAGTGTATATTTTTAAACTATTTGGGAGGAGGGGGAGGCTCTCTATAGTATAAATATATTTCACTCCAGCCCACTATATATAAAATCTACTTTTTTCCTCAGAACATACTCACTTTCAGTAGTATTATGACCAGAATGTTTTGGTATGTTGAATCTGTACTTTTCAATCAATGGACCATGTACAGTTACTAGCAGAACACCTCTGGCTCTGCACCACAAACTGCTGAGAAGTTCATGGGTTTGGTTTTTTTTCTTCCTTTCTTTAAAGTGCCCCCTACATCTCCATCTTTGTGGTAAGATTTGACCAGTTAAGAGTCCGATTCCAGGTAATATACTGACTGAAACAATAAATACGGTTCTACAAAAACATTCTGGTTATCTTCTATAATTGCGACGAAATATATCACAATATATTATATACCTACACTTATAATACATGCACAAACATGTCTCACGTGGACAGACACTACAAAAAAATTATCTCCCTCCCCCGCCCCTAAACGCAGAAAAGGAACGAAAATGGGGTTTTGGTCCAATCCATAAGAAGGGTAAAAGAAATTGAAAGGATGAAGCCGATACCTCTCTACTCACTTTTTCCAATAAAATATCAACACCCCCAACCCCCCAACTTTTTTAGCCTAGCCATGAGAGGGGAATGTCTTTACATTTAGCCTTAGCTGCAGTTTGAGATCACCTCTTTTAATGGGGCTATCATCCACATCCCCACATTCTCTCCAAGTGCGCAAGATCACAGGCTGGCTGATCACAGAGCAGCCCACGAGTCATGGAGAGCAGCGGCCCCTCAGGACTGACTACCAGTCCCGTGACAGCTTGGTGTTCTGATCCCTTTTGGGAGGTGCTGGGGGCGGCCCCCTCCGTAACGTTGCATAGCCAGATATATGACTGCCCCCAAAGCTGCTCGTCTTCTGCTGGTCAGCCAGCAGCTCCGGCGGGGGCGGAGGCAGGGCCATGTCGTCCATGGTGGCGGTGGGCTCTGCCCTCGACATCCGCGCGGAGGAGAGGGAGCCGTGCCGGGTGATGGATTTCCGCTGCAGCGTCCGGTTGAGGTCTGCCAGGAATCCTGGCTGAACGCTAAGGCTGGACTTGGGTGAAGTGGGCACTTGAGGGCCAGCTGGCCCCGGGGGCTCTGCGACCTCTGCCTGCGTCAGTCGGGTGCTGTCGTTCCGCTTGGGGCGTGTGGGTGGTGGGGCTTTTTTCACAGATGGTTTTGACCACGCCTGAGGCTGGGGATTTACAACAGCGACTTTTGGGGAGGTGCTGCCCGAAAACACAGATGGGATTTCTACTGGTGGGGGAGGAAGATCTATTTCAGGTGGTGGTGGTGGGAAGTCTGAATCAGATGGTGGTGAAGGGAATTCAACCACAGGTTCCTTTCCAGATATACTCGGAGCAGAAGCCTTGGCTGGGATCCCACCTTGTGGAAGGACAATGGGCAGGCTCACCCCAGAAAGGTTGAGCTTTCCTGGCTTTGGGGGGGCCGGAGGAGGTGATGACTCCTTGGAAGGAGACCCTGACGGCTCTGGTGGGTGTGCAAATTTGCTGACAAGGCGGTCCACTGAAGGCCTCTTGGACTCATGGTACTCAGTGGAGCTTGTGGACTTGATGCTGGAGTTGCGCTGAGGTGTCGGAGGCGGTTTCTTCCCTCCAGGGCTTGATGTCTTGCCGGCCTTTTTGACTGGAGACCCTGATTTGTCAGGGGGGGGAGAACCTGCAGAGGAAGCTGGGGAAGGAGGTGGAGGAGGAAACACTAAACTGCTCTCTGGTGGAGGAGGAGGGAAATCTGGTGAGGGAGCGGCAGCAGGAGCAGGCTGCCATTTGGGCTTTGCCTTCACTGCTGGAGGGGACTGTGGAGCCACACTCAGTGGAAGGGGTTTCAGAGGCTGGGGCTCAGTAGCAGGTGGGGTGGGAGGAGGTGGGAACTGGCTAACTATCTGCTTCACCACTGATGGCACTGGGGACTGAGGGGATGGAGGAGGCTTCACAGAGAAACTCTGCTGCTTTGGGAACGCTGCAGGGGGAGTGGGGCCAGGAGGGACTGGAGGCAGAGGAGGCACCTGGGGAGAAGTGACACTTGGTTGTTTCTTTATTGCAAGGGGCAAGGGAGCTGTCACAGGGGGGGTGACATGTGTGACCCCTGGTGAGGCTGCCTTCCCGCTGGGCTGAGGGGGCAGAGCTGCCATGACAGGCTTTGGGGGTGCCTGGGGAGGTGGGGGGGCAGGCACAGGTGGAGGTGGTGGTGGCAACGAGGAGGCAACAGTGGCCTGGCTTATATTTGGCTGAACCTGATGGATCTTGGGGGGCGGCGGTGGCGGTGTGAACTGCGGCACTGAGGGGGCACAAGGTGCTGGCTTCAGCTGCGCCATGGCCGAGCCCGGCGTGGGGGGCGGCGGCGGAGGCGGGGGGGGTGGCATGACCCCGTTGGGGGGCACCAGGATCTGAGGCTTTGCCGAGGGCGGGGGGGGCGGGGGGCCCTGCTGTGCAGCGGGAGCTTTGGCAAAAGGCCCGCCGTGCTGGGCAGCGTTCTGCAGCCGGGTGATGGTGCTGTACTTGACAAACATGGTGGCGGGGGAGCCCCCAGACGAGGCAGCCTGGCTGGGCAGGGGCGGGGGTGGCGGGGGAGGCGGTGGAGGGGGAGGAGGGGGCGGGGGAGGGGGGGGGGGGCAGTGGAGGGGATGGTTGGGATGCTGTGTAGGGGGTCACCACCTTCGTCTGTGGGGACACAGGAGCTGTGACAGACACGAAGGGCCGACCTACAGGCTCCATTCGGGCCTATGGGGAAGGGATTTTTAGTGAAAGTGGAAAGGGAGAAAGAGAAGAGAGAGGGAGGAAGGGAGGGAGGGAGAGAGGGAAGGAGACAAAGAGGTTACAAAGTCAAGGTCTAAATGTGCCTGTCATTAAAAATTAAGTGGCAGATTACAGCATGCAAGAAGTATTAGCAAAACAATGGAGCAAGAGACAATTCCATACACTGACAAGCCAGGACCATGCAATCTGATAGGGCAGGTCAGGGGGGAGCCGGCAAGAATAGGTGGAGCCAGGTCTATTCCAAGCTATGCCAGGGAGAAAATATGCCAGCCTTGTTACTTCTGTGGGGCAGGCAATGGTACCCACTGGCCTCCTTTGGGCAAGTATAATGACCCAAACTGAGTCCCCTGCAGAGCACCACAGGCCATGACAGAGGACATCAGGCAGAGCAAGAGACTCTGTGGACACCTCAGCTCAGTACGACTGACATTAGACCACACACGGCCTCCCAGAGCATCTGTCAGATCTTTACATGGGGTAGCTCAGGCCTTACACTGTTCAGTGTTAAAAAATGCAGAAATCCTGAACTGCTCTAAAACATATTGAGAGCAAGCTCTACAGAGGAATAGTATTGAGATCCTTTTCCTCCACATGCTCTGGTATCCAAGATTAGAGAGGAAAAAAATAAGGAAAAAGAGGGAAAACTGAGGTTTCCTAGGAAAATTTCCCCGGAAGGAAATGTTGAGATATCTGCAAAAGAAAGTTAGATTGGGAAAGAAAAGTTATACATGCAACTATCACAATAAGCAGAAAAATTAAGGAAAGACAGGGAAAAGCTGACTAAGGGAAGGAGCAATGGGAAAGCAGCAGGCAATATTTTAGTCTACTCATAGGGTTTTGCTCAAGTTAAGCTGTTTCTCTAAAACTGTAAGCCTACCAAACAATAATTGCATTACACAGGTTTATAAACATCCTCCTAATACAAAGTGGTTTGGCTACAAGCCCAGGTGTGAATTGCACAGTGCACAGCACAGAAACATGCATTAGAAATATGATGCCACCATGGCAACTGACCACACTGGGTACCTCTGCCTTATTAGTGGATACCTTGCAATAAGTTAGCCCAACTATGCTCATTTTCACTGCAAGAGCAGGTTTGCAAATCACTTTGTTCTAAACACAGGTGCACAGAGTGTCTGTATGTGCAGAACTCCACCAAAAGGATTAGAGTCAGAAACAACAAACAGTGATTTTACCACAAACATAGGGTGTGCCTCTACCTGTCACAGTAGGTCTGGAAGGCAAGAGTATTAACAGTTCTGGAACTAAATCAAGGTGTTCACATTACAAAACAGGAGAGAAATCTTGATATTTTGCAAGTGTTAGTCTGTAAATTACCATTCTCCCAATCGCCCAGGTTAATGGATTTTCAAGTAGCACTACCTGACCTGAATTGTGCCCTGTATAAGGCACCATGGGTGTGCTGCCTTTAGTTGTGCTGAGCTTCACTTTTGACACCTGAGACAGCAAAAGGCAATAGGAAAAGTAAAAGTGCAATAAAACAGACAGAGAGGGAGATGAAGGCATAACAGAATAACTACCCCTGAATAGCAAGACCTTGGAGAATCTTCAATTTGTCCCTTAAAGCAGACACAGTGACCATGCATTTTGATGCTTGTTGTAGCATCCCATTTGAAATAATGTGTTTAAAATCTAACAAACAAACTAAGGCATAATGATCTTCACTGTCCAACTGTGAACAACATGAACAGATGAATAAAGTATGCTTTGGGCAAAGAGCAATCTTTCAAAATATGAAGTGGATGGATTATCTGCACTTTGTGGAACATTTTTTAAAAAATCTTAGTAATATTTGAAAGAGGGAGTTTTCCTCATACCCATTGAAGGCAGTTATTTTCACAGTGAGCAAATTAAACACTCACAACAGGGAAAAGACTATTGTGCATCTGAGAAGGGGAAGCCCCTCCCATCTCCACAGAATCAAACAAAATTTCCACATCCAGAAACATATTTAGTCATACTTTGTTTACAGAAGAACCTTGAAAGAGATAATTGTGCTTTTTTTGTCCTTACAACTATGTGACATCCTTGAGAAATTACTTATTACATACTAGCAATTTCATATTTGTAACATGCATCTTCATGACTATCTGGAATTCTCAGAAATGCTATAAAACCAATAGTATTTATTTTTGAAGTATCAGCTGTGGGGGTTTTTAGCTATTTTTTTCCTAAGAAAACAAACCTTTGCAACTGAACTGTTTGCATCTCTTTTCCCATGCTAATTGCCTTTGGACTGGTTAGCAAATTTAGGTCAAATATGACAAACTCATAGAAATCTCAGTATGTTTTCAGCTTCAATAAATTGTTGTGAAGTTACTGGCAGTTGGTAAATGAGGGAAAAGCAGGCAGAACTCACCCATTATTAACCTGTTAGCCACTAGCCAACCAGTGCAACAACCTGGCTGGAGATCCAGCATCAACATCACATCCCTGCTGAGCCAAAGCATGCTGTGCTCTGCCCTGCCTGCCGAGGGGGATGAGCCAAGGGTGAGAAGGTGGGAGAGAGCTGTTGCAGAAGGGGAAGGACATGCTGGACATGTCCTGGCACTTGCAGCAACCTGCCCACATGAACGTCTTAAGCCAGCTTTGTCACCAAAGCACTGCCTCTGAAATAACTGTTTGGAGACTTATCTCCCTAAAACAGCATGTCCCATGTAAACTACAATTCTTTCAACACAGTTGTTTCCTTTCTTGCCACACAGCCTAACATTTTCCACTGCCAATCTGAATTATTAGTTAATTAAGTTCCCTGAGCCAAACCTGTACTGTAGTTTCACTGAAGGTAAATTTGTCACCAATTCACTCAGAATTTTTTAACATGACTTCAAATGATAACTTTACATGGTTCATTTCATTTGGATTCTTTGGAAGTTTTAGGGCGATTCATTTACCTGTGTTATGCATGAGGTAATGAAATATACCCTTTCTTGGATTTGTGTACAAAAAGGAATTTGAATTGATGAAATCTTGATACATGGATGTCCCTCAAGAGGAAGTATTATGAACATTTTAGTTTTAAAATGGCTTTTATCAGACAACATAAAAATTCTTGGGGATTATTTAAATGAGTGATTACCAGCAGCACTACAGACTTAATAAGAGCAACAGTGACCCATGGTGGTAAACTTCAAACTTTTGCCTAAAGGCTCACTGAGTGTAGCAGCAGGATTTTTACACTGAACCCAAAATTCAAAGAAACAGGAACATTACCATTCTCACAGCAGTACTCTCACCTCTGTCAGATATCTGCTAGCAAGTACCTCATCTTGTGCATCTATCCCACTCCTGCAGAAAAGATGCACCCTGTACCCATGCACAAGCCATCTGCTGATGGACATACACCAGGTGTTGCACTCATGCAGTAGAAAAACTTGGATTGCAATTTAGCAAGCTACATTCCTGGACTGAGTACTATTAGAATCAGACAATTTCCAAGCCAGCAGGCACTGCAGAAAAGTTATGAACCCCAAAGAATGCAGCCATGTCAGCTTCCACATTGTCACACGTGCTTTCTTATCTGAAAATGTGATGGTTTATCTTATTTTTAATTTTTTATCTGAAGCACCAGTGCCAGGTGTAGTGATGCATGGATTTAGTTTTAGTTTTCAAAAGTTTGCTTCTCTAGCTTGAACCTGGGGTCTGGGGAAGGTTCAGACTTGACAGAAGACAGCTTCTCATAGTGTCCTGCCAATGTAATTCCTCATGTAGCTACTACAGTTAATGGCATCAAGGCTGTTCTCAAACTTGGAGATTCCTTTGAACCTGACAACAAACCAACTTAAATGGAACTTTTGCTGCGTTTGGAAATCTTCTCCAGGAAGTACACCAGTCAACTATCACAAGAACAGAAAACTAACCAAATCACAACAGACCTGAGCCCCAGGCTCAGTGAGTTAAAATCTTTTGTAACTCTTTACCAGCAAGAGTAGATACCGAGTCTGCCTCAGTTCACAACTGCTGTCAACGTCAGTACTTTTGTTTTGACTGTATCTGAGGTTACTGTTTCCATTTCCACCTAATATAACAAAACTTTTGAGTAAAAGGTTTGAGTGAAAAGTATTACTGAAGTACTTCAAAATAGATATACCTGCCTTCAGGTCTCAGTTATTCCCATCTTTACAACAGGAAGATGTGGCTACCTAACTGGAGAAATATCACAGTGAAAGAATTTCATTCAACTTGTTAACAGCTTATCATTTTATTTTGCCTTCATTCAACATTAGTTAATACGACTCTATGAGAAGGGCTGTATCACGCCTTCAAAGAACAGAGGGCTTCTGTGCACACAAATAAAAGCAAGAACAGAAAGTTCCAGGGCTGAATTCCCTGAAAAATCAATCCTGAAAAAACAATTATATAGAAGTGTAAATCAATAATGTAAGATAAAAAAGAGAAGAAATGCACTCAGGACAGAGGTGGAAGAGGTATATCACTCTGTGTCGTACAACTGGTTGAGTGTTGGTTCTCAAACTAAAGTCTTCTTGTTACCTTGCTGGATTCCTCCAGTTGAGTGCCTCGTTTCCAGGCCTCGGAGAACATGGAGCTGACAATACTTTGGGAACGGACATGTCCAGCTGGCTGGGTGTCAGAAACTCCACTGTCAGACTGATTAGAATGATTTGATTGAGATTCTGTTCAGAAAAAAAAATTAAGAAACAATTAGCATATGTTTCTGAATATAAGAGTAAAGTCAGCATGCTTATAATGCAAGTCTGTGTGACACTTATTGGTCACTGTTGTTAAACAAGTTATCCCACCAAAGGACATTGCTCCCAGTAACTACTGCATAAGCTCTAGCTCACATTTAAGCCACTACTGTCTGGAAAATAAAACAGGGCAATAGATCCCTGGTATCAATCAAACCTGAAGCTACACAAAGATGGCAGCATGTCAGATACACCCCAAAGTAAAAACACACTGCAGTTGTATGAGTTCTGAAACACCCAGTAGCTCCTGCACTTCGGGAAAAGTCATATTTTATGTAGTGCATGCAGCCTGCTCTCTCCAGCATTCCTCCCCAGCACAACCTTAGAAACAAACACTGGACACAGGCCAAGGACAGGCAAACTACACTAGCCAAGGCAGGAGACTGCTTCCAGCAACTCATTCCTCAGCAGAAGAGAAGAAATGATGAGCTACCCAACACTACCCAACACTGATGATGCTCTGGGCCCACAGGATATCTTGAAAAGACAGCAGCCACTGCCAGACCATTTTATTCAGCCTGGTACCTGCTTTCTGTGTAATCCCAAACTGTGCTAGGAAAAAAAGAGCATCTAGGCACAGGTTGGAATGCAGCTCTGGCAGAGCATTCATGGCTGGTGGCTGTGGCTCAGCTTCCTACAAGAGACACTTGATCAGAAAAACACCCAACTTGGATAGAGAAATTGTCAATAACCAAGAACTTACTGCTACACCTGGCAAGCTACACCACACAGCCAAAAAGATGCCTTCCCAGTTGGGCTGAACTTGCTTATCTCATTCTCACAGCCTACTTTCTGCACCTGTCCAATTCAGTAGCATTACTTCCTGACCTGTGTCTGCAGTGGACAAAACACTCTCACACTCTATTGCACATTTTCAATAATTAATCCAGCCCCTGAGGGTTCAGAACAACCTGGCAAAGCATCAGTCACCTCTGAACAGTGAAATGACACTATATAAACCATTCATCAATTTTTAAACTGTTATCTCCTCCAAAAAGTCAGTCCCAGTCCTGCTGAGAGGTAAACAGGAGCACATTACTGCAGACAGGTACAGTCTGACATAGGAACAGAAACTGTATTTTTAAAGCTTGTCTCTAAAGCGATTGTTTGGATTTTTGCCTTTGGAGAGGGACTATCTCTCATTTTCCAATCTCGAATATTTCAGTCAACAAAAGAAGCTTAAAAGCTACAGATGCCCATTCTATGCATCATTATAACACAAATTTGATTTTTCCAATAGATGAAACATAGAGGAACTGGGAATTCAAAATTATATTTCCTCTTCTCAGTATCAGAACACTCTTCTTTGGAGGTGAACAAGAAAGTACTATGTGTTTCAAATACATACACCACTGCAAGTAATATAACAATATAACTATTTACGTGTTTTTATGTTAAACATAAAGTCAGTGGTTTAGACTAAACATAGCATAAAAGACTTTGGAGAAACCGTCCATTTCCTGCAATGGTTTCTCTTTTGAAGTGTCCAGACAGCAGATGATAAAAAAGGTAATTAAAATCTTTGTATTAGGAGATAGATCACATTATTACCTGGCAGACTAGATGAGCTGGAACCCGACTTGATACTGGAGCTAGACAAGGAAGTCCAGTCATATGCTGATTCTGTTCTCTTCAATGCTTCCTGATAGTTCATGTATAGTTGCTTCCCATACTAAGCAAAACGACAAACAAATTTAACAGCTGTATATAGTCTGTGTACCCTTTTCAGACTGTTGAGCTCCACCTCTGGCTTCTCTACTTCACGTTTTTTCCCTTCCAGAAAGCAACAACAGGCTCTCTGTTAAAGGAGCTCAGGCAATATTTTGGGGTTTTTTAATTAGTGAATTGCTGAGAGAAAGAAAAACAATTTATTTATGCTGGAAGAGATAGTGTCAAGCAAGAAATGGTCCAATGAATAAACTAAACCAAGCTGGGGATCTTAGAAAACAATTCTATTTTCTAAAATCTGTAAGGGAGCTGGCTAAAATCTCTCCATGATGCGTGGCAGTTAGAACTTTGCCATGTGACAGGGGTGCAGCAGAAACAAGAAGAAAGGGCCCAATTACTGAATTATTATAACAACAAAGCCTAATAATTTTTGCTAGGAAATGAAATATGTAAGAAGACTGTACAGTTCATATTCAGAATAGTTAAACAGAGAGAAGTTAGATTTAACATGTATTTTGCTAAGTAACTGTAAATAGTTTTAAACAGGTGATGACAACTCCTCACAACAACAGTGCACGACTGCCTAGAGGTTACCTTAGCAATGCGGATGCCATTGATCCACTGGTGTAGAGTTCTTACATCATCACAGCAAAGATACTTGATATACTGGGATTTCTTCTGGATCTGAGGATGCTGCAGAAAAATTGTTAACTCTCATCAATACTTTAATAGCTAGGAATGCAAGGATAGTTGTTGAGGTCTATACAGACAAACAATGTTGGAAGCTCTTCAACAGAAGTCTGCATTTGAACCCAGTTAAAAATGTTTCAGACTATTTCAGGAGGTGAATTTCAGCGAGGATTGCTTCACACAGGGATTGGCAGTGTGTCCAGTGTGCACCGACTTCAGGTTTGAAACACTAAGAGAGGGTAAGTCTTCCATTACTTTAGGGCTTTAGTACTGTCTACCTAACACCAGCCTTCTGCACCTCTGAACTAACCCACTGCCTGAGGGAGACAACTAACAGTTCACCTTTGGTCACATCAAAAAAAAAACCCTAGAAGGAAACAAACACTCCCTAAATGACATGCTGTTAAGCATAATTCCATTTTCAGCTTGTAGAGCCTTCCAGGTTCCTGCTGTACTGATACAGGGCTATCATCTAAAATACTTGCTGCTCCCACATGCATGTATAAAAAAGAAAACATGCTGTATTTATAAATTCAGAAGTCAAGAAACAAATGCATATTTTTCAGAAGTCAGACACCGCAAATCATTCTGGATGGATTGATTATTCAGTTGCTTCTTGTCCATGCTGTAGAAGTTACATGTCTCTCAGCTGTTGGGGTAACTCTTAATACTCAGGTTCTTATCATTTCCTCTGTTAGCTTACAGTTCAGTGACACAGTTTTGCTAGATGATCGTAGGTATTTAAGTTTTGCTGAAGACTCTCAGAAACATATCAGAGGACTTTTCATCTCTTTTCAAATTATTTTATCCTGTTGTCTTCAACACAATTATTTCAGTATGAATAGAACATGTTTATCTCCATAAACAGAATATATATAACAGACCTCCTTATGCTATTAGATAATTGCTTTCATTTTTCACTTCTAGCCTCCTTCACATACAGGTTGTGTAATGAGTCTATATAAGCACAATTACTTTGCTAACAAGACATCTTCTTCCTGGACGTGATCAAAAATTTGCTTGTATAGAAATAAGAATCTCTCAAAAATCTATCATTTAGGACCAAAGAGTTATTATCAAATACTAGCACACAAATGCTATATTTAACAATATAAGCACAGCACCTGGCTTGAGCAGAGTAAGTTTTGATACAAACAAAGGAAGCGAACACAAAGACAAATCCAGAGAATCAGACCTTCAGTTTGTATTTGCCATTCACCTCTCCCAAAACATGTCCATGTTCATGTTTTGGGAGACACTGCCCAGTGTAGTGAATCTTTGCAGCACAAAACTGTATTTCTAGTAAAAAAATGAGTGTGATTTCTATACATTCATACTAATATAAAACATTGATGTAACATTATAATAATTGAGGAAGGCAGAACTCAATCCTGCTTAAGATAATAATTTGGTGATTCATCAGTTCCACATTGAAAATACAGCTTCACTTTGTGTAAGTTATCCAGCTACCCCATTAATTTACTTTAAGGAACAATTTTGACATATTAATGAAGACATGAAAATGTTACCATCAAATTTTATGCTCAGAATGCCAATACTTCTTTAAAAAAAATCTACTTAAGTCTGTTTTACTCTGTGAGGTCAACGAGTCTGAAAAAATAATTCACTATCAACCAGTCCAAATGATATGGACAGAAAGCAACATGTAAGCAGACGAAATCAATTTACTTCAAGCAATTTATAAATACTTACAAACACTGACATTTTTGGTTGCATTCAATTAACTGCATCAATGACCTATAAGAACATGGAAAATACTTCTAGTTTCAGCTGTGTGCTTTCTCCATGAATATCAGGTCCCATATTTAATATTCAGTGTCTACCATAGAGTGGGCTCAAATGCATGTTGCCCTGTCTATTTGAAGATGAAATCCTTTTTCAGGCAGTGGACAGCCTCACACTCCAGATATATTAACCAGTCTAATGTACTGACATATACACCACCGCATGAGCTACACATCAGGGAGGGGAAAAGTGCAACTATAACCATCTCTTGCTACTGGCACCATTTTCAAACCCATGATGACACTTTACTTGCTGTGAACACAGTGTTTTAAAATAGCTTTGTACCCAGTTATCTTGCAGGAACCGACACCATTCTGAGCACTGCGTGGGAGTCAAGAGAAACTGGGAGATGTGTCGATGCAATTAACCCTGACGTACTCAAGTTATTCTTATAGTTTAAGATCAGGTCACCAGTTTTATAACAGTTTTTGCTACTTGTTCTTTCTACCTGTCCTTTATACTCAGAAGCTTCTTCCTTTACAGCATCCCTTTTCCCCCAGATTGGGCAACAAGGGTAGACTTGAATCTCTAATATAAATTTCTGCCCAGCTCTGGACCTACACTCTGAGAAGATGGCAACTCCCCAAAGTTAGCATTTCAAGGATATTATCTCACTGAACCTAAACTGTTGTAAGGTATAGGGTTGCCAAATGGAAAAGAAGAGTTTAGTGTATGTTTTAGAGTATGATGAACAGTTAAATAAGACTGGTGCTCATTAGTCTGGAAATAAAACAATTCAGAGCAATATGAAAACATTCACAAAGTCACAAGGAGCACAGAGAACAGGTGACAACTGTTCACTAACTGTTTGTGTTGTATACAAGAACTAGAGGAAAATAAAATGAAAAGCATTCAGAAGAAGTAAAAGTGTATTCAAGGTATACCATGTTGCTGCAGCGTTACCTTTAGTACTAAACAGTAGTCTGTGGGTGCTTTGTATTTGTTCCGATAGTCCTGTCCATAGTAAACACTGACATGGTCTAGCTGCAGAAAGCACACAAGATCCCTTGAGACCTATGAAAAACAAAAATAGTCATTCACAAAATATCTTCAGAAGAAATCCACACACATTGACAAAATCAGCCTAATGTTAAGATCCAATACTAATAAAAGGTCTAGCTAAGGTCAAATATTAGTTTCCATCTGATTAGAAAACTACCAATACAAGAAGGAGATACAGCCATGCATAAACTCTTGTATCAGACCTTCATTTTTAACCAGCACATCCTTTTTCACATTCAGTCTGTTTTTTGTTTTGTCCGCATTTTGCCCTTTGACATTTTACACTGGGCTACGAATGTGCAGCCAGAGCAGGTATCAGAAGAAAGTAAATATGATTGGTGGACCAGGAAGTTAAGAGCTGTTGGTTACATTTAATCTCAGTAATAATTGAGTTGTCCAAATTCCAGTGTGACTGTGAGTAGAATTCTAAAGATGTTTGGCAGTGATCGTAGGGCACAGAATTTCAACAGGCCACTTGCATACAGATTGTTTTAACAAAGCAAAAGGCTGTGGAAAGAACATCTGGCACGTATTCAACTCTAAAGGGAGTTGATGCACTGACAGAGATTTCCTCTTCATTGCCAGCTGTGTGGGAGGTGGACTTCCCGTCCTGTTGATGCTGTCGAGATTGATGAATTCATGGACAACTTGAACTCACAGTAGTTCAGCCCTGAAGATGTGATATATTTGTAGCAGCTTTCCATTTACTTCTCATTATCAATACACAGAACAGCATTGACACTGAAGAAATGGTATTGTAATCATCAGTTTCAAAAAACATAGCACCAATTGGTCCAAGAAGAATCCCATTTATATGAATTAACTAAACCCAGTGAAATTTTTCAGACTGTGGATTTGGTCTGATACTCCACAATTGGCAGTTGCAGTGCCATTTGGTCCTCCATTTCATTTATGCTTGAGAAAAAGATAGCTTCTTAGGTCCACCAAAAATTTTTCCTCAAGTACTTCTGATCACCTAACCCTAAACTCACTCAAAAAGCAAACACTTACCTTCTTGTATTTTTAAATTTGGGGTTATATCCTTCACAACAAGTGTTGCCACAGTAATTTACACTATATTTCTATAATAAAGTTAGCTTTCTTAATTAAGGATGTGGCACTAGGAAAGGCACAGCTAAGTCAAAATTTAAAGTCTCATATGCACTAGTTACCAGCAATAAAGAATTCAGGGAAATTGCTTTAAAATAGCATACCTTTGCCTTCCCTTTAGGGACATAGTAGATTCCAGAAGCCCGAAGAAGAAAGTAACGTTTCTTCCAAGACTTCTTACCATCCTCTTTCAGCCACAAAACTCCCTCAATCTCTGGCACAGTTACAGAACTTCCACAGAAACATTCCTGCCGATAAACACAGTGGTTTGGGAAACAGACAGAACATAGAGCATACATTGGTTTGGTTTTGATGACTGAAATCCTTTATCTAAGGAATGAGCACATAACAGGCATAGCTCTTTTTTTTCACACAGTGGTATGAATTACAGATTAATCATAGAAGTAATAAGGTGCTTAGCACCTTAGCATTGGCTCAGTGCAACAATGACAAAAAAACCCCATAGCAGTTACTGAAAAGATTTTCTAACCACTGCAGATCAGTAATAGAGCCCCCAATGGCTTTACTGGCTTTAAGGTCCTGAGGTCACCCTACAGATACAGCCTCATACGTGTAAGCATCCACAAAACCTAATTGCACATCCATCAGCTACAGCTACAATTCATTCCAGGAGTACTTTGCTCCTACTAACTGCCATCAACACTAGAACTTCTGTCAAGGTTCTATTTATAAAGAAGTAACAGAGAAAAAAAAATGCTTTAAATACACTCCAGATTAATATGCAGCACAGAGACTTGTGAATAAACCTAGAAGATAAAAAGAATAAGGTAGAATTGCAACTCTCTGCATGCCATGACTTCAAGCATCTTTTTGATCCCCAGTATACACACAAACCCTTATTAAAACCTGTATTAACAATATACTAAGAACATGTGTATGCTACTAATAAGTTAAACTGTATTAAGTTTAATCCAAAATTAAATACTCAAAATATTTACTTTTGTGTGACTATCATAACCATTATTCTGGAAATCAAGTGAAACCTATGGCACTTCAGACATGTCACAAAAACATTCAGTTTTCAGTTTATGAAGGCCATGCTTTCTGTTTGCTTTATTTGCTCCATGCCCATGGTTCTGCAGACTGCTTAATATGTTTGATATAATTACTTTTTTGTCACTCGTTTTTAAAAATTCAATATTTGGTTTTTCTTTTAAATGTAATTGAAACAATTCTTAACTACTTCGTTTATTAATAAAATTTAAAATATTAACTTAGACCAGTCACTAAAACCAGTGCTATAGAATTCTGTAGAAAATAAGAATTTTGAAAATACTATAAAAAAAATCTCTACCACCAGAGGTCAAAAACCCCAGGTGACAGTTCAATAAATGTCAACAGGTTTTAGCCCTAGTTACAGGCAACCTCATTTTGATTATCACTGTGTATGGTATTTTGGATACTAAACTAAATACAGAAACTTTATATTAACTGATTGCATCTGAAACAGTGTAACATGAAAATAGCCATTTATCTCAAATATAACACATTCCATTCACAGTCTTCCACAATTACATTCAGCTCCGTCCATCAATTCCAATCACCACAACCTTCTGGAGTTTAGCTTCAAGCTCCAAAATTATCAGTATGTCCTTTTTGGTTTGGCATTCCTACCTCTAGCAGCACCTCTTTATTTCTGTCTGCCATCTCAGAGGTTTCTTTCTTCCCCAGAAGATAGTTCTGTAACAAAAGAAAGCTTAGTATTTCTATAGGCATTCTGAAACCAAGCCAAATGATATTTCTTGTTCTCCTTTCTGTAGCAGTAAGAAAAAACCCAGCTATTATCTAAGAACAATGTGTGAACTAAACAAAACTTTGTAGTTTAACTGAAACTTTCTGTCAGACTGCTAAATAATACATTGCTCTAACTTATAATCACCTTTACCAGAACTATCAATCAGTCCATACTCTCAACAGCCTCACAACAACATTGTCCTAACTTTCCATGAATCAAACAGTTGTCTGTTACAATGCATCCAAAAATAAAAATACTATGAACTTGAAGATCCCACAATAAAAATATAGAAAACCCCAGAGATCTTTAAACTTGTTACACACTGCCATTATTTCTGCATTCAAAGAAGCACACACAGAAGCAATGTACTTTGTTCCATCTTGCCCTGACAGTTTTGCTGAATAAAAATATTTATTTTTTCACAAAGAATTAACAAATAAAATACTCCTCATCTTCTTAAAGGGAATCTAACTATACACAGGTATCATATCTTATTAAATAAGTCTTGTACTCTTATTCGGTTTGGAAAAGATTAGGGCAATGGAAAATATAATCTTCTTAACCCCTAGCTCTAATACTGGAAAAACCCCAAATATTCATAAAGTTCAGCCAGTTCAATATTTTAAACCAAGTAGAAATGTTTGGTTTACACTGGTACCTCCTTGTTGACAGTGCCTACCATATGTACTGACAGCAAATGTATCAACCACAAGCTTTTAAAAAGGACGTAGAGTTTTGCTGCTTCAGTGCAAAGCACTTGAATAAGACCTGGTTTTCAGTTCTTGCTGAAAAAAAAGTAAAATCAAGTACTGGTGTTGTCCCAAAGGATGAGCTTACAAAACTGATACCCAGTTTAAATCCAAGAAATTAGTACACAGATGCCATATAGATATAAAAATAATCTATAACCCCAAATGGAACACATTAGCTAAGAATTAAGAGAGAGATCAAGTGATATGATATTCGGTTCTTTTCAGTTCAAATTCTTCAAAGAACAACTTTCTCCTTTGCTGTTTCTTTTTCTCCACTCCCTTACAATACTGAACTGCTTCCAGATATCAAATCACTTGAGAGAAGAGAAGTCTTTGAAGCTATTTGAGAGAGAAGTGGGGTCTTTGGTTTCCTAGCCAAGGAACAGGAAATACAGGTGAGTACCAGGTCCCAGCTTCCACAGGGACACAGGTTCTCTTCTCTTCATTTGCCATGTGACCATGGAGAAGCTATTTTTGTCTTCCCCTTCTTGCCAGCAATGTAAGAACACAGTGGAGAATCACTACTATTAGCAATATCTGTCAACACCTTTCTGGCATGATTACATATTTGAGCAGCACTGAGTGTAAATCCCATGGAACTGCCTGCCTTCATCTCCATTAAAACTACCCACAAACACATTTGCAAACAGATTGCTTCAGCTCAGTTATCCGCTAAGGACTTGATTTTGTGCCAACAGCACTGTGGATGTACACAGTGCCAAAGTGTAAAGTTGCCTGGCATTTTAACACATAAAAAGAATGGAAAAGAATGCTACCAAAAAAAGTTCAAAGCTGCAGTCACACACACATTCAACATGAACCACAGGCTTACCTGTGGATTCTTGAAAAGTGCGTATTTCTCTATACGTTCCACAAACATTAGTTTGTTTTGACTATCTCTTGTCCAGTTCAGGAGATTTTCAACTAAATTTTCATGATCTTCAAAGATCCTTTCTGCAGCAATAACAAGAGAGCAAATACATTTGAATATGTTGCATTTTGTGATAAATTAATCTCTAGTCATATCTAGGAGACAAGGCATACATGCAGAGAAAATAGAGGTCCAGGTCTATTACAATGGAAAGAAGTTTATGCTAGGAAACTAAAAGAACTTAGTCATCTTTCAGACATGCCTGGGTTAATTTTACACATACAATCATTCAACACTGACTTCTGTACCTTCAGGCTTAGAGTTCCAGCAACATACAAAGTGGTTTTGTTTTTTTAATCTGACAAAGCCTACCATCCCACACGAACACTGCAGACTCCAATGATGACATTCCAAAGTTTATGAGCAAAAATAAGAAGTTTATCACATTTATATGTACTCTGGTCTACACAACCCCTGGAGGAATGTATTAGGTAGCTTTTTCAGCATAAAAATTATTACAGCATCCCCAATCACTATCTAAGTATCAAAAAAGTAATGGGCAATGATCAGAGGGAAAACAAAATGCCTATGAAATGTGGAATACCCATGGTTAGTAGGGGTTTTGTAAAGAGGTCTGAAAACTGACACTGTCCACTTCTTACAATCTCTCCTGATGAATAAATGATGTATTACCAATGGCTCCTGAGAACTCTGAACTTTGACTCTCTGTTGAAATAGTTTATCACCAGTACACTAGTACTAGTCCTTCAGAATACTGAAAATAGGCAAAAGAGAATGGATTAAGGAAAAAGAGGAAAATTTCCTGAAATGGCAGAGAAACAGCTGAATTTTCTCATTCTAAAATAAATAAGGAAGGAGACATCTTCAGGAAAGCACTAGACCAAGTTTTTCCTCCTTTCAAAGACACTGAAGTAGAAGGTAGCTTTCTGCAATTTGTTCCCTCTTCACATAGGCCATACAGTGGCATTTCAGCAAAATAAATTTTTCAGAATCATTTGGGACTTGCTTGACCTTTCAGCTGCATCTGAAAGCAGAATACGATTTTCTCCCACAAAATAATTCAAGCTCTATCAACAACACAGTAATACTGACTTCCAAGAAAGTAAAAGTCATCACCTAACAGAACAACAAAACAAAAAAGCTTCAGAGCACTGTGATACAAAAACTCACATCTCACTGCAGCCTCATTAGTGAAAGTGGATAGCTTTCAAAACATATCAACTGTCATTACAAGAACACAGTTTATTAAAATTTTAAGTTTTTTAGCCCTCATTGGATAGGTAGAAGATTCGCCTCACAACAACCCTTTTTTTCCCCCCAACAATAAGCAATGTTAACATGTTACACTACCTGATATAGAAAAGGTTTCACCAAAAGAGAGAGGAAATATTAATTTTCATTTTAATTTGAAATCAAGATATTTGGGTTCAGTTCTGGTTTTCTTTTATCAAAGTCAATGGGTAAGGTGCACCTTACCCATGCTCCTTCTTTTCCATTCAGATGCTGTATCCTTTGGTTAAATGAACAACTTACATTGTGGTATGTGCAATGCAGTGCAAAGGAGTTTTAACTGCTCTTAGAGGAATATTGCTTGTTGCATTCAAATATTTAACAGGGAAAAAACATAGACAGTTTTTTTGCAATAAGAGCTATCAGTTTAAAATACTATTTATAAAGAGGAAGATGCACGGTAAGTTTTTTATCCCTTACCTGTTTCTTCGGTGAAAAAATCATCAAAATCAAGAGGCTTGGTGACTAGACATTAGTAAAATTACTATATCACACCAAAGACTTTAGCCATGCTTTTTAAATGAAAGAAGAAATAATTTCCAGATCATTCTGAAACAAAGTCAATCATGAGCTTCATTAAATGAATTAGCACTTACTACATTAACGAACGGGATGATGAACATTATGAAGCCAAGTGTTTAAATAACTCTGAGGATATAGACAACTGTTGCATTAATAGGTAAGAATTATAAATACTTGTAATTATTACTTACCCATTTGCAATTCAGAGATGGTTTCCACCAATGACCAGTCTAAACTGTAGCCACAGTGTGATTTGTCCATCAGATTGTCTAATACTTGTCTCACTGTCTGCCTCTCATCCACCATCATTGTTTTTGAGCTGTCATCAGACATATGTACTCTGATCACCAACTATTAAGTAGAAAATTAGGAAAACAAGAAGGATTAATTTACCACATTTCACATAAAAATATGGTTGTTTATTAGATCTTGTTTATTCTTCTAGGATTTTCTTACAATTACCGTAAAATATTAAGTTCAATCAAAACACTTCCTCAAAATGGGAGAAGTCATAAATGATGGTATTTGTATCACAGACACTCAAGAAGATACTGTTCTCCTTCAGTATAAAAGAGTAAACATAAAAGTCTTTCCAATACAACAACAACATGCTTTAGTTGTGTGTTATGGAGGAAAAAAAAATCCCTCCTGGCGAAGTATCCTGTTCTGATTAATAAAGTGCCTTTGAGACAATTTTTCTCACATGTCTGGGTGGAACAAAAGAGTTCTGCACAAGCTTACAAAGAAACAGAATTTTTCAGATTTGCAGTTCAAGCTTTCTGCCCTTTGTCCATATTTTCTAAAAATGATGATTATGTAAACAATATACCTGTATTAAATGTTATTTTTCTGGGGAATATGGAGTAGTAGTGTGAAAAAAAATCTTCTTTTAAAACACAATGGTTTTTCATAGGCATTTTAAAGAGGCCATTGTCCAGAAACAAAAATCCAACCATTTTTTTAACCAATCAAAAAACTTAAGACAACAGATTCTTTTTGTCAATCATTATGCTTCCATTTTTACATCTTGTTCAGATGGAAAAGATAAAATCTACTGATTGTAATACACTGGTTGGTTTTTTAATTTCCATCCTCCAGGCAGAGCAGTTTTTAGTTTTTCATCTGTAATTATTTAATGTAAAAGGCATTTTAAGCTACTGAAAAAATCCAATTGCAAAATAAGAATGCTAAATGTTAAGGGAACTCTATATTTTTTGAGTACATCAAGTAATGTCAGTAGACTTTCTCCACTTGGTAATCCCTGTTTTTAGTTTGGAATACTTGTTTTCCATTTATCACTGGCAAATCCTGCTATGCATAATGTGAAGGGGTTTGTAAAGAAAACAGGTGCAAATTTTAAATGTGTGATTGCAGAATATGCAAGGACGATCTCAGGAGGTTGGACCTTCATTTCACTTCTGGGTTGAAGTTGGCAAAGTCTTCTCAATGTGCACTAGCTGCAAAACAAGCTATTCCTTAAGAAAAACATAATGTTATTCCATATGCTAGGATTTTCTTGATTAGGTGCAGTCTAGATCAGAAACCACATTACTACTCTAGATTAGAACACCACAATGGTTTTATTTAGGGCAACTTAAGGGTAATAGACACAAATGAGAAGTGAATTTCCTGCATTTTCCAAGTGAAAAAGAATAAAATAAAGATCTTATAAATCAATAAAACTAACTTACCTTTTTCACTTGTGCTTCTTTAATCTTCTCTAATGCAACCCTAATCTTCTCAGCTTTGAGTTTAGCAGCCTGTTCCTCCTAGGGGGACACAACACACACAATTCCAGTTAATGCAAACTTCAGTCTGGTTTCAGTGGATTTAATTTTGAGGCTACCATGCTTTAAAACATGAACTGAAATGTTGATTTGCTCACCTACAAATCCTCAGCTATTTCTTAGTGGCAACGAAGACTATTATTTTTTAAGACAAGAAGTATTATTATCTAACATTTAGAAATACAATTGCCATTAGAACATACTGGAGGTACATACTTTGTATAGACATTTGGCATGTCTCTGTTCTTTCACTTTGTAAACAGTCTTGTGCATTGCTACCAAATATTTTAGTAAATCATATATTTACAGTCATAGGTCTGGACAAGACACATTCAACAGGAGTGTACAATGGAGTATACCCAATAGATTTTTGGTTGACTGACATAAAACACAAAGAGCACACTGAGAAGCACCAGAATTTAAGAGCACACAGAAAGTAAGAAAACAAATCCTATAAATAGGATCCCATACTACATACATTAGTTTGAAAGACCTTAAACTAGTAAATCCATTTGCAGTAAGAAGCTTCAACGCTCCCTTTATCTTTACTAAATCCAAGATGCATTTCTCCTTCCTTTAAGTATTTTAAGACACAAAAAGCAAACAGGCATTCTTTTGCTTTTCTAAATAATCTATTTTTGTTACAACTGGAAATGCAGTGAAAATTCAGGTAACGAATCTATCAGCTGATGCTAAAGAAAACTGTATATTTTAAGACTAGCAACATAAATTTTTCAGTTTGAGATTACAGATATTTTTGTTGAAATTGCACTTGAAACATGCAGCTAAACAAGCAACCACTGTTCTGAAAATGACATATGCAGGTTTCAGGCTTTCACAATCTTAAATTCTGGATGTTCGCTGTGGTTTACATCTAGAAGCATCATAAAAATCTCTAGCACAACAAACAAATATATGAAATAAGCAAACCTCCTCCAAAAATATTCAATCTCATTAAGAAAGAAAAATTTAAATTTTTCTCAGATCCAAAGCAGCACAGCCCATCAACATTCATAGACATTTAGTTCTCCATTGCTTTCTTGTACAAATGTAATCCGTGGTTTCTTTGCCATGTGCTTAGATGGTTGCTTTTCTTGTAAAAGTCAAGATATAGCTATTCTGAAATCCACATTGTTTAAGTTTTGTACTTTTCAATGAGTTACTAATATTCTTATCAACTGCTAAAGAACATTCTCTTGTTATTTACTGCAGTCTTACTCAGTAGCTTTTGGTCCTTCACATCCTGTGACCATCTTATGCAGCGGAAAAAAACATCAGCTAGGCAGGACAGTATGCTGCCTTGAGAGAAATGTAGTTCTTTTCAATAAAGTAAACCAGTAAGTTGACACAAGCAGAAATAATATGAGCCTGAAACATTATCTGGGAATTGAATTACCAAGGAACACAGCTTCTATTAATCTACAGGGAACCTCAGCTTTTTATTCACAATAACAATGGTGTCATATAGCTTAGAAAGGTTAAGCCATATTAGCATTGTATGAAAAACAAACAGTGCCATGATACCAAGAATAATTTTTCTTCTTGTTCCTTAACACTAATCATTTCCTTCTGTACAAATAAATTATTACTAAAAAGCAAGGCTTTAGAGACTTGTAAAATTTCTAGAAGTGATGCCATGCACCTGTACATTATGAAATCAGCAAAACCAAAAGACTTCATTTCATCATACATTTGGAGAAACCCATTCATATTTAAAAAAGCTTCTCATTAACCCGACCATAAACCTCTACTGCCTTAAAAAGGTTGACAGCACATTCGGTTTTGCTCTTTGTTAAAGTCAAGTAGCCCAATTTTCCAGCCCATTTCACTGCACACCTGTGCGATGTAACCCCGACAGCAAACCCCACAGGAGCACTTTGCACCACAGTGCACAGGCAGCAACACAAGGGCAAGCAACAAGGAATCAGCTGGCAGCCTCCCAGATACCTGTGCCAACACAGCTAAAATATCTTTGGTGATCTCTAAGTTTATAATCCATCATTCCCTAAAATGCTTTTAAAAATAAATATGTGGATCAAGAAAGACTTTGAGGATTTACTATTTTAATGCCTACCAATAACTTTTCATTTCTTACTCAATATTATGTGGGCCTAGAGATCAGGATTTCTTATACTTTGTTAAACTCTAATATAAAGTCAGTTTAAATTAAAAAAAGAAAACCACCTAACCAACAACAAAATAAACCCCAGAACTAGAATTATCAAAATAAGAACCACTTTCAGCCACTAACAAATTATAAAAAGAAGTCTGAATCTACTTACTGGAAACGTACAGAGGAAAAAAGCAAGAATTAGAAATTTCTGAAAGCATACAGTAGTCAAGGATTTTAAGCTATTCAAGTTTTGTTTTATAGTTAGAGCTCAGGTCACTGCTGCATCACTGTTGATATCACAAAAGGAGGAAGAATTATCTATTTTGATGATTTCATAAAATAATTGAATAATCGCAGGATTCACATCAAAACTCACAACAATTTCTTCTATTTCTTTCCTAATGGCCCAAGAAAACAGTCCCCTCCACATCAAAGCCAGACCAAAACTGCACCTAAGACACAAACACAGGCTCTCTCCTCCCATGTACATGAAACCAAGACAAGTTCTCAGCGAGAGGAAGCATGAGCCATCCATCAGCTTGTTCTGAGCTAACAACCCTTTTCACTGCACGGGCAGAAAGGTGACAGATGACAAAAATACCCAACTGCAACTTAAACTATTCAACACCACAAAGTAATAAGGCCAGGACATACAGTCCAACCACACTAAACTTGGGCATTTTATTTCCCCTTTGCTAGTAAACACCAGCAACAGTGATACGAGTTGCTGAAGGGTCATGAAAATACAGGTAAACAGCAGCCCCTTCAGGGGGTACCACAGGTGGTCCATACCAGTAAATCCTGATGTGGCCACTGCCCTGCCTCCCTCTCACAGCATCAGTGCTCAGTGACAGCATTCACAGTGCTGCTGTGGCCACACAGTTTGGTCACAGAGCTGATCTGGATGAAAACTGACACAGCAGAAAGATTCAGCAGAATCCACTCCTTGGCAAGACCACCTTTACAGTCACGGACACGCTTTGGAAATCAAAGGAGATACACACACACACTGCAGAGAAACACAAAACATAAAGCAGTGTCTTTTAGTAGCAGTACACATCACTGCTACACATAGTAGCAGTCAAATTGCAACATAAATTCCCCACTTTAACAGGACTACTTTGGGAGTATTGCTACACTTGCATTTTAAAGCTTTGAGCCAAGATTACTTTTGGTTATGGACAACATCACACCTGATGTAAAGAATACATGGCAACATAGTTACATTGAGAATTTGTTAATCCAAAATATTCTAACATTGTGAACTAAAATGGAAAATGCACATCTCTGCAACGCGATGGTCTTAAATTAATGACCTTTTTCTTTGCATTTTTATACCAGAACTGTTTTTGATAATTTTAGCCTACAGTGCAATATCATAAAGAATAACACACACAAAAACTAAAGATTTCCTTAATATGATGATCACAATTTCCTGTCCCAGTTTCCAGTTGAATATGCAGTTATCAGAAATTTCAGCTGTGTTTTAGCATTAAATATGCAAGATGCATGCAATGACAAAGCTGACCTTGCTGAAATGACTTTGGGCCTCACACTTCTAGGTTGGGACTTTATTTTCTGCTTCATTTTACATTTTTAAAGGGTCATTAACTGAATCCTTTTACAGAGATCACAGAAAGAACGGGAAAAAAAAAAGAGGAGAGAGGAACCACTTAAGAAAGGCTACAGTACTTTGGAAATCCAGTAATTAAATGATGAGAGCTAGGTAAGGAAGTCCACATGTCGCTGAATTTAGGAGGGCAGATACACAAATCACAAGATGCATAGAAGAAGAAATTTCTTCTTTGATTTTTTTTGTCTGAATTCCTTCTCTGAATGCAGATAAGAAGATAACTAAATACATAAGTAGCATTGACTTCTGAAGGACTAAAAGCAGGTATCCACTGTTTATTTTCCCACCTACAGTCTAGCCTTGGGTAGAAAGGCAATCACCTGTCTTGCAAGGACTGTCCTTCTTAAAGAGTTTTTACTGAAACAGAGGTTTCTGCTGCCAGAGAACACCATATTGACATCTCCATTTGTACCTAATTCCCCAAAACTTCAAGACATCTTTATTAGTCCCATGTTTAATGTATATCAATCCGAAACATTAATCACATTAATGAAGTGTTTTCTCTTAGTTGCTTTCATTTATTATTAAAAAGAACACTAGAACAAGTGTGTATATGATCAGCACTAGAAGGGAAAAACCAAATGTGTGAATATAAAGAGCAGGTCTTCTTGATAAACTCATTAGGACAAGCAGAACACTCCTACTCTAAAAAACATTTTGTGGCAATAGAAGCACTACATTTATAAACAGTGAGCTTATGTTTACAGTAGTAGTTCTTGGCCATTCTCAAAATAACCTATATCTGGGTAGAGCAGAAAGGGAAGCAAGACATGACTCTTCCAAAGCTCACTAGATGTGAGTGTACATCAGTGATTTTTTCCAGTGAGGAGTTCATCCTCCCTAATGTAGACTCATGGCACATTTCTTCCTTTTTCCTTCCCAACTTAATACTCTGGAATATTCCTGATATTGTCACCATATTGCATTATGTTACTAAACATGGAAATGGATGTGAAGCAGTAGTATTGTTTTGGGGGTTATGTCTGAGAATTATTCACCTGAGAAGGTCTTAAATATCACAGTGACACTACACTGGGGTAGTGCCATATTCTTCCTTTGTTCTACTTCTGTGCACCATTCACAAACTCTTTGCTATTAGAAATCTAACTCAAACACAGAGATGGTTTCTGAATGGAAATTGGAAAGCAGCAGTTACATTTTAAATGCATTTCAAAGTCACACTGGCCCTTGTCACAAGTTCCCACAGAAGGGATCTTCTTCCCCACAGTCTACTGG